AGGAGCAGCATCAGGGCCTCAGGGGAGGGAGGAGATGAGAAGGTCCAGGTGAGAAGGTCAAGGAGGGGAAGTGGAGGAGGAAGAGGAAGAAGTGGGGATGGGAGAGGAGGGAGTAGGGGGAAGGGTGGAAGCTATGTTCCTGCCCCCTCTCTCTGGCTGGGGTAGAAACACACAGCCTGTGGGTGCGCTCAGATACTGGAGCCCCAGCAAACTGCCCTTTGCCTGGGAGAGAAAGAGAGTCCATGAGCCCAGCGCTGGCCAGGGGATGGTCAACTGCCCTTCTGTTACCTGTGCCCCCATGAGACCTCTGCCCCCTGGTCTCCTTGGTTACAAAGGCTGCCTCCCACAGGCCTCCGGTTACAGAGAACCCTGCCCCACCCCCAGAGCTGCCAGCCAGCGGGGGCTCGGGACCTCAAGCTTCCTGAGATGGGGAAGCTCAGCAAGCCTTCTGTGGTAAGCTTAATGATGTGTGTTGTTTTAAGCCACTAAACTGGTGGTACTTTGTTCCAGTGGCAATAGGAAACCCACATTCCCCCTGGGGAGCAGTGTTCTTCCCCTCAAGGTGCCTGGAAGCCACTCCCTCTGATCTGCCCTAAGGCTTCCTATTACTGGCTGCCAGGCTCCCTTTTGGCTTGGGGAGGAATGGTCACTGCCCTCCTCTCTCCACTCAGACCCAGCGACCCAGCGGAGCCCCAGGCCTTGGCAAGCTGGCCAGGCCTGCCTGCTGGTCCTCAGCTGCCTTGCCAATGGGACACCTTGCTGGATTTGAGATGGTGGAGGAGATCAGAGATGCATTCAAGCTGCCGTGAAACCAGGATCTCCTGATTAGGGTTTTGGTTTAAAGATGGGTAAGACATGTTCAGCTTCAAAACCTTAGAAACACCTTGGAATTTCCCTGTAGACCGCAGGAGAGAATCTCTGTCCCATGGCATATTAGAAGTATTTGGCCTTCCAGAGGAGAGTAAGGCTGCAATGAAAGACCAGGGACAGAGTGGGGCAGTGTTCCTGGGGGGGTTGTGCCTCCTCTCCAGGATCTCCCTCCAGGGTTGACTGGTTGCATTCTGGACAAGCACAGGTCCACCTCCTGGAACTTGCACTGCTCTGCTTCCCAAGCTCTCTTCTGCCCTTAGACCTGAGCCCAACCTCCTAGAACCCCCAGTGCAGCCTCCTTCTGGATGCTGTGAGCACTAAATGGCCACCTCTGCCCCAGACCCCAACTCCTTGACTTCCTTCCTCCTTAGAGAGCATGACCAACGAGCGGGCCAAGCCTCACCCCACCAGGCTGTCACTGCGGGCCTGGGTGGGCGTGCCTGTGAGTAGGTGCAGGAGGCCCGCCTTTATTTTTCCCCTGCCCTGTTCACACTCCCACCCTCCTTTTATCCTGTTCTCCCCACCTTCTCTAGAAATTCTCCACTTTTCTCCATTTTCACAATGCTTTTTAAATGGGTTAGCTCTGTGGGGCACCTGGGTGGCTCAGTCTGTTAAGCGTCTGCCTTCGGCTCAGGTCATGATCCCACAGTCCTGGGATGAAGTCCTGCATAGGGCTCCAGGGAGCCTGCTTCTCCCTCTGCCTCTCTCTCTCTCTCTCTCACGAATAAATAAAAATCTTTAAAAAAAAAAAAAAAAGATAAAAATAAATGGGTTTGCCCTGTGCCTTAATGCAAGGAGCATTGCTGTCCCCTGAGGACCCTGTTGGGGTCCTTGGGTCCTTGGGTCCTTCTGGGAGGACCTTGGATCCGTCTGGGAGAGCACCTCGGACTTTCACTATAGGAGGAAATTCCCCAACTACAGTTCAGTTAGCAGAGAGGTGGCGCTGGGAGAAAGCGCCCCTGGGGGAGAGGTGGGGGAGAGATTCGTATGTAAATGATATGCAAATGAGCTCAGAACCCGCTCTCCAGATTGGTGCCTCTCGGTCCCCAGGTAAGGCCCCGAGAGGAGCTCCCCAGGCAACCTGGCGCCTCCGGGTTGAGTGCGGGACTGTACCCAGGGCGCCCTGCCATCCGCCTTGCTTCCTTCTGTGTCTCCTCTCTCCTGTAGTCCGGTTTAGCACTCTCTGAATCCCCTTCCATGCTACCTTGCCTGTTCTGACCCCCGTTCTTAATTGCCAAATTCTCCCGTCTTGGGTTTCCCACCCCCAGTGAAACAGACAAGTCCCAATGTTTAAGGTACAGGGAAGCTCACTCAGAGAAGCAGCCCGCGTCCACAGTGCCCCCTGACCTGGGCACGTCCGACTCATACAGCGGAGATCACGGGGTATATGGCAATGAGCGCTGGGAGTGGGCACTCTGGTCTGGGTGGCACCAGGAGAGAGACCATCACTCTCCCTTAATGAGCCCACAGCCTGTCCAGGTCTGATGCTCTTCTAGGGCCTCACTCATTTCCAGGGGGCGGCCCACAGGGGATGCTCTGAGAACGTTAGCATGGGGGCGGGGGCTCAGAGCCACCTCTTCCCAAGTCTCCTCCTCTGCGGATGGGGACCCCGGGGGGGCGGGGGGGGGCAAGTTCCTGGGCGCCTTCAGCCCTTTTAGGTTTAGGAATGAATGGGTGCGACCTGTTTTCCCACCCAGCTCGCCTGGTCAATGGCTACTTCAAATGGAGAGAAGTTGGAGGTGATAAATCCTATATCTGGTGGATTACAGGAGGAAACATCTTTCAGTCCGTTTTGGAAAACAATTTGGCAATGTCTCATAGCATTAGAATATATCTATGCTTAGGCCCTATAGTCTCATTCTTGGATATCTATTCTGAGGAATTAATCACTAATTAAGATCACATACAAGGATATTATTGCAAAAAAATTTCCTGGTGCTCCTCAATAGTGAGGGGTACATTGCAGTTTATCTCCCCCCCCCAACCCGGGGATTAGAACCTCAAGTCAGCATTAGGGTTGGTAGGATTAGGGCATGGGAATTAGGGTTCTGGTGAGGGCCCTAATATTAGGATTGGAGTTAGGGCCTTAAATTTAAGACCTTAAGGTTAGGGCTTGGGTTGATACTTTAGGGTTAAGGTGACACCCAGGATTAGGGTCTTAAAGGGAATGTGCTATATCCCTATTAACTGATTCATGCAGATCTCTTAGATGTGTTAAGAGGCAGAGAACGTATACATTATAACCCCATTTTTGTAAAGCAGATGGTGATCAACTTTTTCTGTGTGCCATTTATGTGTTTACATATACATGCATTTGAGAATGTTGTTAACATTGGATAAATGCAGGGGGAGAAGGGGGAAAAAGAAGATTTTTTTTAAGCTGCCTTATTAAAGAAGGTGTACCTACCTCTTTTTTTTTTTTTTTAAAGATTATATTTATTTGACAGAGAAAGACACAGCGAGAGAGGGGAACACAAGCAGGGGGAGTGGGAGAGGAAGAAGCAGGCTCCCAAGGAGCAGGGAGCCCAATGCGGGACTCGATCCCAGGACCCTGGAATCATGACCTGAGCCGAAGGCAGACGCTTCACGACTGAGCCACCCAGGCGCCCCTACCTACCTCTTTTGACTCCACTAACTTCACAGGGAAATAAGCACTGATCCCCAGGTTTCCCTCTTTTGCTTGGCTCCCATCTACCTTTACAGCCACTCACTTGTCTATGGACACCTTGGTTTATAAGATGTGGGATACAAATGATATCCACACCCTTCAGGAATGATCCAGACCCTGCCTCTCATGGTCACAAGAGAATAGAACACAGTACAAAATGCCGCATCTCAGATAATAAACCTAAGGCCTCTGGGAGAGAGTCTCACCTGCAGAAGCGAGAGCATTGTGTTTTTTCAGGAGACCGTTCAGAAGTGGCAGCAGGGGGGACCCCTGCCTCAGGTCAGCACTGGCCTCATCCAGAAGGCTGCCACTCCAGGAGCCCAGGATCTCTCAAGCTGTGCTAGACGCTCCCCTTGCACATAAGCCATGTGGAATTTGGCATGTCCTCTGAATCATCCATTACATCTTGAGGCCCTGAGCTGAGGGCCAGTCTGTTGTGTATCTATTTGATCACTGCTAGGGGAAGGACAAGGAGTTCTGGACACAGCCAACTTTCCCAGTCCCCTGGTGCTGCCATCCCCTGATGCTCAGCATTAGTTGTAAATAAATGTCAGGCTCCAGCATTAAGCAGTAAGGGTCTTACTGTGCCTGTCACATGTCTGTCATTCCACAGTGAATGACTCTAGCCCAAGAGATGCTGCTGTAGGACCTCCTCCTCTTTAATACCCTTAAAAGGAACTTGGCGGATCATTTCTTTCTCACCTAACACTAAGCTCTCCTCTCAGCAGATCTGTCTCTGTCCCAATCTAGAACAATGTAGTCCTCCTCTGGCACTGGCTTCACAGAGCCCTCTGTTCTGGTGCTGGGGGCACACCTTGCCTCAGCTTCCCCCTCCTCTTTCAGGACTTACCTCTGATTCAGGTCTCAGGTACCTTGTTCTCTTTTATCTTGAACTGTTGAAGTTCTGCCCTGTGGCTCTCAGTATCCTAAAGCAGGAAACTAAATTTGATTCAAGAAAGCTAGCAATGGAGAAAATGAGTGGCTGGAAGTGGGACAATGGAGAAGACAAGGGAAATTGGGGGGAGGGGACAGAGGCAAGACAGGAGGAGGAGGGTGTGTGGGGGATGGCAGATTGACATCTCTCCTCAACGTGGTCCCATATACTGATCTGAGCACCTATGGAGAAGCTGATGGTGTTACTGAAAAGAGGTTTCATGATGCTCTGGACACAAATGCAGATGCTTCCATGTCATGGCACAGAAAGTAGATCTGGAAGGAAGAAGAGGTGCTTCCCCTGGGCTCTACATAGAGGCTAGCACCACTGTCGGCGCCTTGAGGAATGAAAAGTTGAGAAGCATCTGGGCTAGCACCTCAGCCAACACATGAGCATTCCCATGACAGCCAAGGGGAATGGGAGGATTTTCTAAGGGAGTGTGAGGCCACAGATGTGGCCAGCAGAGGGGGAAGAAATCATAAGGGAGAAAATGTACTGAACACAAGTATAAGTCACATACTACAGTTAGCACTTTAGATGATTATCTTATTTAAGTATCAAAATGACCCTACATGGAATGTAATATTGCACTACAAGCACAGAGTAAAGCCTAGACACTCAGATTTGAGGTTGAGCCCATATGCAGATGAGTCATGATGTCACTGTCCTCAAGTTTGCTCTGGATCTGAGCTCCATCATCTGTAAAAGACAGAAATAATAGTGACTACATGAGGAGTAAAAAGGGTAATAATGGCGAAAACTTGACATCGTGGAGGACTTATGTAAGCATTCTGTAACTCTCACTTATGATTATCCCAATTTTATCTGTAAGGAAACAGGATTATTAACTTACCCAACACACGAGTCCACATTTGAATGACTGACCATGCCACCAGAACACAAAATCTTATCCATGAGAAAGTACTTGCCCAAAGATTCAAAACTTACAGTAACTTCAGATAACCCAGCCCTAATATCAAAGTGGTAAGGGGATTTATGTATCAACCTAAAACTTTATACCTATCAAAAGTAAAGACTAAAAAAGTCATTGAAGATACAAAATAATTAAGAGAGCTTACTCCCATACAGCCTCACTAAAGGAACTATTGAAGAATCATTTCAGCAAGAACAAAGGTGAACCTAGAGAACAGACCAGGAATATAGGGGAAAAATGATCCCCAAAATGTTTAATTATGTAATATAATTAGTTTCTTTATCCATTTAAAAAACAGATTTTAAGTAACAATTAAAATTCATGGGGGGCCGCCTGGGTGGCTCAGATGGTTAAGCATCTGCCTTCGGTTCAAGTCATGATTTCAGTGTTCTGGGATCGAGTCCCGCATTGGGCTCCCTGCTCAGTGGGGAGCCTGCTTCTCCCTCTCCCTCTGCCTGCCGCTCCCCCTGCTTGTGCTCTCTCTCTATCTTTCTGACAAATAAATAAATTTTTTAAAAAGTCTTTAAAAAATAAAAAAATAATTTAAAAAAATTCATGGGAATACTTGATGGGTATTGGGACTGTGCTAGGACCCTTGAGAGGAGGATACATGTATGGAATAAATGAGACTTTTGTCAGATAATTTACAATTAAACTGATTTGGGGATGGGACTTCCAGAATGGCAGAGTGAAGTGGTCAGCAAAGCCTCGCCTGAAAAAGCAATGTTAGAGACACCAGCACCATAACAAGATGATATAAACTTACTATTCCCTGCTTCTCCTTTCTAATGCAACAAGATACCTCAGAAACTGTTATACAGACAACAGTAAAAAGGCACTCTGAAGCCTGGAAAAATAAAAGTGGACTGACTAGGAACCTCATGATTTGAGGAGTGACCTGTAGTGAGTTCCCTGTGTGTGTGTGTGTGTGTGTGTGTGTGTGTGTGTTTAATCTCTCATATATATCCAGGACTTGGTGCCAGAGAGGTTTGGAACCTGGAACTACCAATGGGTGTATACAAAACAACAACAGTAATAAAATCCTGCTTTCACTGGTCAAAGGACAAGAAAGGAGAAGCCCAGGCGCCTGGGTGGCTCAGTTGGTTAAGTGACTGCCTTCGGCTCAGGTCATGGTCCTGGAGTCCCCGGATCGAGTCCCACATCGGGCTCTGCTCAGCAGGGAGTCTGCTTCTCCCTCTGACCCTCCTCCCTCTCCTGCTCTCTGTCTCTCATTCTCTCTCTCTCAAATAAATAAATAAAATCTTTAAAAAAAATACATGATGCAAAAATCTGAAAGCTTAAAGGAGAAATAGACAAATTCACAAGTATAGTGGGGACTTCAGTCCTCATTTATCAATTGATACAATTAACACAAAATCAGCAAAATAGAAGAATTCAGTAATGCTATCAACAAAAAGACAGTAAAATACACATTCTTTTCTGACATCCATAGAACATTTATCAAGATAACCCTTATCTGGGGTCATAAAATAAGCCTTAATAAATTTAAAAGGGTAGAAATCGTAGAGTATGTTCTCTGACCATACGAGACTAAAACAAGAAATCAATTACAGAATGACAACCAAAAAAATCTCCAAAAACTTGGAAATTAGACAACCTACTTCTAAATAATGCATGAGTCAAAGAGGGAGTCCCACAGGAAATAAAATTGAAAGCACAAGGTATCAAAATTTGTGGGATGCAGCTAAAGCAGTGCTCAGAGAGGTACGTAGAGCAATAAATGCTTGCATTAGAAAACAGAACTCAGTAGAACTCAGTAATCTAAATTCCTGCCTCCAGAAATTAGAAAAAGAACAAAAATAAATACCAAGCAAGCAGAGGGAAAGAATTAATAATGATAAAAGCAACAACCAATGAAATTGAAACAGGAAAATAGAGAAAATTAATTAAACAAAATCTTTTCTGAAAAAAATAAAATCAAAAACTTTATCAAGATTGATATGACATTAATCACCAATTATTAGTAATTAAAGAAAATATCACAACAGATCTTGCAGCCATTAAAAGAATGATGAGGGAATACTATGAACAAATTTATGCTCATAAATTTGACAACTTAAAAGAATGGAGCAATTCTTCAAAACCACAAACTACCAAAATTAAGCCAAGATGAAGTAGATAATGTGACTATTCCTAAAACTATTAAATTGGATCTGTAACTATAAACCTCCCCAAGAGAAATCCTTGAGCCCAGATAGTTTCATTGGAGTATTTTACCAAATATTTCAGGAAGAATTAATGCCAATTTTATACAGTATTATCCATAAAATATAAGAAGGGAATACTTCTCAAATCATTTTTTGCAGCCAGTGTTGTGATACCAAAATCAGATAAATCCAGCACATAAAAGACTAAATCTCTCATGGAGGTAGATACAAAAATCTTCAACAAAATTTTAGCAAATCAAATCCAACAAAGTATACAAATAATAATACATCATGAAGGAAGTGGGATTTAATTTATTCCAGGTATGCAAGACTGGTTCAATATTCTAACATCAGTCAATATAATCCACCATATCTGCACAGCCTAAAGAAGAAAAATCTTGTATGATCATATCAGTTGGCACAAAAAAGTATTTGACAAAATTCAACAGCTATATTCTTGATTTAAAAATATATCTTACTACAATAGGAAAAGAAGTGATCATCCCCAACCTTATAAAGACTACCTTACAAAAAAATCTACAACCAATGTCATAATTAATGGTAAAAGACTGAATGCTTTTCCTCTAAGATTAGGAACAAGGCAAGAGTTTTGGCTCTCATTATTATTCAACATGGAAAGGTCTAGCCACTGTAATAAGGCACTTAAAAGCAATAAGAGGGGTATTGATTGAAAAGGAAAAAATAAAACTCCATTTCCAAATGGCATGATGGTCTATGTAGAAAATCCCAGGAAAATCTGCAAAATAAATCCCCCTAAAGCAGATTATTGAGCTTGACCTGCTCTCAGGATACTAGATGAATACACAAAAATGAATTGCATTTTTATATACTAACGGTGAATAGGTAGAAACCAAAATCAAAGCCACAATACCACTTATAATTGCTTTGGAGAAAATGAAATACTCAGGTATAAATCTAACAAAATATGAACAGGATCTGTGTGATAAAAATTACAAAATGCAAATGAAAGAAATCAAAGATGACCTAAATTCTTGGGGAGACATACCACACGCAAGGACTAAAAATCTCAACATAATAAAGATGTCAATTCTCCCTGATTTATAGGTTATATTGTTCATTGGGTTTTAAATTTTTTTTAATTTTAATTAGTGTAGTTAACATACAGTGTTATATTTGTTTCAGGTGTACAGTATAGTAATTCAACAATTCCATATACTACTCAGTGCTCAGTGTATACTCTTAGGGACACCTGGGTGGCTTAGTTGGTTAAAGCGTCCAACTCTTGATCTCACCTCAGATCATGATCTCAGGGTCCTGAGATGAAGCCCCTCATCAGGCTCAGTGCTCAGTGTGGAGTCCGCTTGGGATTCTCTCTCTCCTGCTCCCTCTGCCCCTCCCCACTGGCTCTCTTAAATAAATAAATTTTTAAAAAATAAAAGAGAAATGTCTACTCTTAATCCCCTTTACCTATTTCACCCATCCCCCCCCACCCACTTCTCCCCTAGTAACCATCTATTTGTTCTCTACAGTTAAGAGTCTGGTTTTTGGTTTGTCTCTTTTTTATTCTTTGTTAATTTCTTTTGTTCTTAAATTCCACACCTGAGTGAAATCATATGGTATTTGTCTTCCCCTGACTGGCTTACTTCACTTAGCATTATACTCTCTAGATCTATCCATGTTGTTGCAAATAGCAAGATTTCATTATTTTCTTTGGCTGAATAATATCCCATTGTATATATCTACCACATCTTTTTTATCCATTCATCTATCGATGGACAATTAGATTTTCCATAGTTTTACTATTGTAAATAATGCTGCAATAAACATAGGGGTGCATGTATCCCTTTGAATTAGTGTTTTTGTATTCCTTGGTTAAATACCCTATAGTGTGATTGTTGGATCATAGGGTGGTACTATTTTTAATTTTTTGAGAACCTCCATACTGTTTTCCACAGTGGCTGCACCAGCTTGCATTCCCACCAAGTGCACAAGGGTTCCCTTTTCTGCACATCCTCACCAACACTTGTTGTTTCTTGTGTTTTTTATTTACCCATTCTGACAGGTGTAAGGTGATATCTCATTGTAGTTTTGATTTGCATTTCCCAGATGATGTGTGATGTTGAGCATCGTTTCGTGGTTTCTTGGACATCAGTACATCTTTGGGGAAATGTCTTTTCATGTCTTCTGCCCATTTTTAAATTGGATTATTTGTTTTCTTTTTTTTTAAGATTTTATTTATTTATTTGAGAGAGAGAATGAGAGACAGAGAGCACGAGAAGGAAGAGGGTCAGAGGGAGAAGCAGACCCCTTGCTGAGCAGAGAGCCCGATGCGGGACTCGATCCCAGGACTCCAGGATCATGACCTGAGCCGAAGGCAGTCATTTAACCAACTGAGCCACCCAGGCGCCCCTGGATTATTTGTTTTCTGAGTGTTGAGTTGTATCAGTTCTTTATATATTTTGAATACTAACACCTTATCCGATAAGTCATAGGCAATAATCTTCTCCCATTCCATAGGTTGTCATTTAGTTTTGTTGGTTGTTTCCTTTGCTGTACAGAATCTTTTTATTTTAATATAGTGTCAGTAGTTTATTTTTGCTTTTATTTCCCTTGCC